ACCTATCCAGTGTCGGTTAAGTCAGGGAAAAGTGTTTTTGGTAAAATGGTAATGTCAGAAAAAAATATCCCCAGAATGTTCACTTAAAAAAATCCTAAAAATGAAACTGTTTAAAAGAAACTGACTAAGTTAAGTACTCTGATCTAGGCCTAAGTCTGCTACCATATGTCATCATATCAATTGAATACTGAATAGGAAATATGTATGAATTTGATTGATAACTATTAAGTTACATTCTGGGAACATGTGATTGAGTTTTCAGTTTTGATAAGTTCTAATTTCCTACATTTCAATTGTCGGGCGAGCCAGAAGGCCTCCCCACTTGTTTCATGACTTAGCCAAACATTATTTCTACTTATAGTCCTACATAATTATACTAAATGACTTATCCATAAGATGACAGAGAAGGCCTGGAAATTCTGCTTCTTTCATCGGCGACAGATAGTTGAGCAAGAAGGAGGAGAGGAGTCAACGAATGTGGGGAGGTGGGGGGAGACGTTGATGCAATCGCAGCAGGCAACGAGTTGGTAATGCAGCCCAGCTTCGCGAAATGCACACACTATATAAATATAGCGTGCCGCTATACGTCACAGACTGGGAAACCAGATAAAACCAGGGCGATAGATTCCCAGATACCCCCAGCGGGCTTGATCCCAGCACCCAATCTACTTCGTTTGCCCATCTAGCCCAGCATTACTGCCAGGCCATCAGGGTTTCCCAAAAGGAGGCAGGTATAGAAGTGGGACCCACCCGGATGAACCTATCCACCAAAGGTGGCGACACCCTTCACTCAATTGAGGTTCCAGGGAGAACCCCCCACACCCTCGAGAACCATACCCTCCGGGCCCAGACACAGGGACAAGATAATGGAGTGTGACCACCATCCGTTGCCCTCACACTGCGGAAAGTTCCGTTCCCCTAGAGTGTCCCCGTGAGCTTACGGGTACTCGCCCATTTTCACCTCCCAGGAAGAGGCTACTTCCAAAGTCGAGGATTTGCCACACAAAATGTCGGTCGCACACAACAAGCGGGCCGAAGCCCATAGAACCACAGCCACAGGCAGATGGGAGATTGATGGCACACTACCACCTCTCCGAGAGCTGAACACCCCTCCACCCTGGATGGAGGAATGTCACTGGGTACTCTCACTTTGGGTACAACCCAAAGAGGCTGGCTTGTCCAGTCGTCCATAGCTATGGCCTACTTGAAATGCCGATTCCGACACCGAGCAGTTAACTCTCCTTCGGGGGCTGGAACTTGCCCGTTTTTCACCTCCCAGGAAGAGGCTACTTCCAGAGCCGAGGATATGCCTCACATAATGTCAGTCGTACACAACATGCAGGGCAAGCCCCAAAGAACCACAGCCACAGGCAGGTGGGAGGCCGAAGTCTCGCAGAGCTGAACACCCCACCATCCTGGATGGAAGAATGTCACTGGGTACTCTCACTTTGGGTACAACCCAAAGAGGCTGGCTTGTCCAGCCGTCCATAACTGTGGCCTACCTGAAGTGCCGGTTCCAACTCCGAGCAATTACCTCCCCTCTGGGGGCTCAATAATAAGACAAGACAACTTTAATGTCAGAACAGGAGCGAGTTGGTCTAGTTTAGAGCGCGGGACTTCAGTCCAAGAGGTCCCGGGTTCAAATCCCGCCAAATCACCAATGGATTCTATCTAAGTTTTAATGCCGCAACCCCTCGGTCTAGCCTTAAGCAATGTGAAAAAACAATCCCGGGCTCGTGCTTATCGTTCTAGGAAAAAAAATATATCAGAAGAAACAACAGCTATATTTTTCCTAATCTATTTGGATATTTAGTTTGTTGGGTGACAAACGACAAATTGATGTTGTTTTCTGTAGTATTTATTATTCTGCAGAAATGTTAAAGAACAATGGAGAATCTAATTCGAAAGCAACAGATAAACTGTTTCAATATGTCTTGCACTATTATTGGTTATTAACTGAAGAGGGCCATCATCTGACTAATCTAACTATCTATATGAAAAGGTTGATGAGAAATTATTTTTCACCATTACACTCGGAAAGTAGATATTTCTGATAATAGCTGATATCAAAGAAAGTAAAATTATTTCCCAAGCTCTAATTTAGAGCGAGGGAATAACAATAATCTGACTATCCCGTGCTCTAAATCTACTTTCCCTTGATCTCAATCAGTTCTCCAATTGGCTTGTACTCTCTAGTTTTTTATCAATTTATTTATATTATTGAAATAAGCAGTTTTTACTGTTCAACAATGCAAATATGAGAAAAGGAATAGCATAAGTTAGTTTTGCTGCGTTTTTTGTTTGCAGTGCGCGTTTACTGCACAATGAGCATAGGTAACATTTGAATTTGAAATTATAATTTTACCAACGACCGTTTTTTTTAAAGCCTTTTCAATTCAATTTTTAGAATAAATATGATATTTACTTTACGGCATTGTTACCCTAATTTACAGCAATTTTTTTGGTAACGTAACGTACCAATGGGATTCAAGGATTGAGAGAAAAGAAGTAAAATTGCAATCCTTAAAACGCTAACTTATCAGCTTACAACGATTAATTTAATTGTTGATCTGCGACTTCCACTGGAAACTCATACATTCTTTCCTTAACCTACAAATTGGACTAAACAATTTGCTAACCACCAGTTGCAGAAAGGCTTATTCAAAGATTTTGAAAGTTTCAAATAGTTCTAGAGAAATAAATAACTTAGAAGTAAGGACTCTGTTTGTAATAACTGTAATAAACTGTTTGTAATAACCTTTCACCACCTTAATCAAAGAAACGTTATGAGGAAAATGGTGGGGAATGGTGTTTCATATGTGTGCACACTTTTTATTGACCGCCCTTCCCTGACAATAGTAATACTTAAAGAAATACTTTAATTTTGTTTGTTTATATTATTGAAATTACCAGTTTACCTTTACATTTGTTTTGTTAAAATGTTGTATGTTAACTGTTTCAATACATTCAGGAACGTTAAAAAATATGTAGGTAATATTTGTCTATTTGTACCTTATGGTAAGAATGCTACTACCAGTTCCTGAAAGTGTTTAGGTAAAATATGAAAGGCTCGTACCTTAAATTTCTACTTGTACCTTAAATTTCAACTTGTGTCGTAAAGTTACTGGATCGTAACATATAAACGTTTAGTCTGTATCTCTAATTATTTAATTAGCAGATTTGTATGAACTGTTTAATCCACGAAGTATACTTTTTCAGCATTCATTGTATCCACTAAATTGTTAAATTTGCTTATTATGCGTTAAACCATTGCAATCCTTGATTAACTGCAGTTTAAGAAATCTATTTTGGATAACTGACTCTATGAGTCAGGTACAGGGTGATCGAAGACCGACTATCCGAATGAAGTACATGAAACAAATTAATACAGCTGATTGGAAAGTATATTATTATGATGGGTTAGCCTCTGGATCAAGATAATGCAAATATATAAAAGGATTAATTTACCTGTTGCATCAATTGATCCTTAAGTTATGAAATAACTACGGCCGTTTCGTACTGCTAAGCGAGTACATCTTCAGGTTTTCTATGAACGTTAAAATACGGCTTTTTCATCCGTGGATGGAGGAGTCAGCACATTTATCAGGAGTCATGACTCATCATCTAACGCTACCGGTTACGCTACTATCGTGTTCGAACTACTTGGCCAAGTTTTTTATTGTAAATATTTTAATGTTTCTTATGTGTTTCGTGTTATGTATCCTAAATGTGCTGACGACTCCACCCACGGATGAAAAGGCCGTATTTTAACGTGCATAGAAAACCTGAAGATGTACTCGCTTAGCAGTACGAAACGGCCGTAGTTATTTCATAACTCAAGGATCAATTGACGCAACAGGTAAATTAAACCTTTTATATATTTGCAATATTATTAGTTTAACACACATAACAAATGAAACCTAAAACCATTGCACGGATAAGACCCGAATGATATATTTTTTAAATACGTATTAAAGGGGAATTCATGAAGAAAAAAAAAACTTAATTCTTTTGAAAATATTGTTGGACATAATTTGGTTATCCATTGAATCCCATGTTAAAAAAACATAAAATATAAGACCATACGATTTTTATTTACCTTGAAAAAAATAGTTAAAGTTATTAATGTATGGTGATTGTTTCAACCTCGGATTGTTTTGTTTCGAGTATTTTAGTAATACGGTATTGTGAATTCGTCTACGGAGCTCTTAAAGCGTTTGAGGCATTGGCGGTACATGAACTTTGTCTTTTACATAGCCCTATAGAAAAATTACACACCTTACGATCAGGAGATCTAGGGGGCTATTTGAGAAGGGTCAAGTCATTATCGTTACATCTGCCAATCCAACTCTGAGGAAGCTTCGAATTGAAGTTACGAACATAGATATTAAGGAGGAGGATGAGGCAGAGTTCTCAAACTAGCGATACCACCTTAAAATGCTTTGGTATGAGGGAGGAGTCTGTCTAAAATGCCTCCGAAACTCATGCTGGACGGTTGGTTATTAAAGATGAACTTAAATCATAATAAAAAACCCAAAATGTTTTTCTTGAATTGTAATCATTTTGAAAATTAGGCAAACACGTCCAAGAAAAAAACAAGATTTATTATTGAACAGCTGATTATAAAACTTGGAAACATACTTTTTAAGCTTATGTTTAAAATATTAATGCAGGTTATATTAATGGCTGAGGTACATGCCATTAAAACCTGATGATTTTTTTATAAACGCCCTGTATTGTTTTATAAACTACATATACTACCTTTAAAATATACTAAGGCTTCTTTCTGCAGCATGTTTTTAATTTAGTCATTAGCATAGCATTTTTATACTAAATGAACTCAAACATGAATCAATTGTTAAACTTTGATCCCTGAACCAGAAAGCGATTTTTATGAGGGAATACTGAAGGATGGTTCAGGTAAGAAATCAACATAGCGTTGAATATTACTACAGAAAATCCCTTGTTAACTGTCACTAAGTCTCGTCTCCTTTGTACAGGTACGGAGACATGGTTCCAGAGACTATCGCAGGCAAAATAGTGGGTGGCGTGTGCTCGCTCAGTGGAGTGTTAGTGATCGCGCTGCCCGTGCCAGTTATAGTGTCCAACTTTAGTAGGATATATCACCAAAACCAAAGAGCGGACAAAAGAAAAGCTCAAAGGGTGAGTAACCTTGTTTGTCAGATTGCATGCAAATAATTCATCTTTAGGTAAGTTTCGAGAGGCAGATAACTTCCACAGTACTTGATGGTTCTGGTCGAGGACTGACAAGTAGAACCTCGATAATTTGGCAATTTGTGGACCAAGTGGACACTTAGTTGGACCATCGAATTGTGTACTATATGGAGATTTTGGACATTTGTACAAAGAAGTCTTTAGCACACGAGATAAAGCACACAGATTTAATGAATAGCATAAATCTATAGCACATGTCCACAAATATCGTAGAGAAATATTTGAAAAACCAAACGCTATTAAGGAGTAAATGGGTCGATATACGAACAAAGATTAAAATACAAAGTTATAGATCGTCTAAAATTACCCACTAACTGTGATCTTTGTTTCTTGATAGGACAAAAAGTTAATGCCGCAACAACCGTTAAAAAACATGTTTTACTAAAAAGATTCTGTTAAGTATATGTACCTATATTAGTTTTCATTATTCCAATCTTGTTTTAATTATTCCAAACAAGTCAATCAAAATTCATTAACCAATGTTTATGTTTACAGCTTATTATTATTAAAGAGTAAAGTACAAATAATTTCAAAATTTAAAATTATTATATGTTATTATAGCAAATTCTATTATATCACATTGTATCTAAAAAGAATATTTCATTATTAAGATTGGCAACACTGCTAATGCAAGCAGTTTAACTAACTCAAAAATAAATGTTCAACAATTAAATTATTTAAAAACAAAACATGTGACTGTGATGAAGATTAGAAGGAAGCCAGAATGAACTGAAAGAAAATGCATGGTAGTAAATTATTTGATCAAAGAAGAAAGTGTTACTATGAAAATTACAATAAAATTCAAGAAACTTACTAAGTATATAACATTTGTATTAATCAAGATTCACGAAGAACCAACAGTAAGTGATATTTATGTTAATTAAACAAAACAAATACAGTCCACTTATTCAAAAATTAAAAGCTATTTTTGCTCATCTATTTTAACCATTAAGCTACTTCATTCAATTATCAACATTTCATGACAGATTCATTTTGAATTTTGAGCTTTTCTACTGTAATATCATTGTACTCGTATATGAGAGTTTGTATGCTTAGTTAATGAGTAAGAGAGATTAATTGAAATTTAGTATATTTTGGCGTCTGCATGACAGTTGGATTTCTGAATATCTCGGTAATATTTGTATGTTATTAATATACGTCAACGTCATTAGAAAATTAAATTTAGCTACCTGTTAACTAAGACAAAATTAAAGACACCAATCGATTTTATTCATAAGCCTACACACTGTTAAAACAGTACAATCACCACCACCACCTTTGTCGCTAAAAGAATTCAATTTTTAAATGTGATCTCGGGTAAAATAATTGAAAGATGTTTTATAGAATTTAAAAAAAATTAATTTTGTATAAATAATTTTGTAATTGCTTTATGCTCAAATGCGGTAAGCTTGCAATCTAAAATATCACGACGAACTAGGTGTAGGTACCATTTTATTTACTAACATATGTTACCGGAAAGTTATAGTCAGGTATTATTCATTGGGTATCATCACCAACATTTAGTCAAGAAAAGTAAAAAGTCAATTATTTAAAAAAATAAAGCACATTAAATAATTTGCCTAGTCATTCTATACAATCCCCCTTGGTACTACTGGTTAGGTATAAAATATATGGTTGTATGGCTGTTTTTAGATTTTTACCGATTGCATTGTAGGCCTGATGATGGTTTTATAAAATAAGAACTGAAAATAGTTGAAAACAACAAAGAATGGATTACTCGATGCAGTTATTTAAACCATTTTATGTTAAACCAACGCAAACTATTTCAATATTGTAAGTAGTCTAAATACCTTAAGCGGATGGATATTTTGATTCAATAGGTCCATCAAACAAACATTAAACTTTTTTTACGACAGAACTATGTTAGTTGACAGAAACTCAAGTAGAACCAAAATTGGAAAATTCGTTTGTAAAGTAATATCTGGAGAGCAACTAGTATGTTTAACTAGCAGTAAACATTTTATTACTCTTTCAATAGAGTTGTTTCGTCCACGGCCATGTTGACTATGACAACTTCATAGCCAGGCTTGCCAACTGGCAACAGCATACATTGTAGTTCTACCTACGATTGTGACAAGCGCTGTAAGAACTTCCGGTGTGCCACTTGGCAGTTTTACCAACTGTGGTAAAGCTATTGTGTTTTATGTATCTATTAGTCTAGTTTATGTTGGTAATATAATTGTATTTACGAGTGTGTTTATACTACTAGTTTGTAAACAAATATCAGTTTTGTTTGACGATGCTAATTGTTAATCTATGTTTTGTTGGGGGGGGGGGGGCGAGCTGTTCTAGTGGTTAGAGCACGGGATTTTGGTCCCTGAGGTCCCGAGTTCAAATTCCGACAAATCGCCAATGGATTTCATCCAAGTGATAATGCCGCAACCCCTAGGTCTAGCCTGAAATAATGTGAAAAACAATTCGGGACTCGTCTAGGACAAAAAAGATTTAATATTCATCCGATACCAAACCTGTAGGTATAAAGACACCAATGGGAGTGTAAAAAAAGTTTTGAAGCGATAAAAAAATAAATAAACGTATAGCGATGATACTCTTCTAGAATCACACACCACTTGAACCTGACCAACAATGGTGGAATCTGTGAAAAAAATAAAAGTATGTTTTACATTTTTTAAATATAACCTATAAAATATATTTTCCTTTTTCTTATATTAAGTGTAAACCAGAAACTAGTCTTTAATAGCTTTGAAAACTTTATATGGCCCCGAAATATTTATTAAATTGGCAAAACAAATAAATCATACAGTTTTCTAACTGATGGTTTTGTTTCCATCTGCAGTACCGTATTGACAATGTATTTGTCTAGGTCCAGTTAAAAACTTTAAAAATGTTACTAAGTCGAGATCTACATTTTCCAGATTTTTAATACTTCGTCCAAAGGATGGCGCCGTAGTAAAATTATTATGTTATAAAAACATTACAATTGTAATGAGGAATTAAAAATTTAGTTACATTCAAAATGTATTTAGAGTTAAGTTATATTAGGGAAGAAATTATTACGATATACAGGGTGATTGATATAAGTGTGCCAGCCGTTTTATTCGAAAACTATAAGAGATATAAAAAAACGTTAAATGGTAAATGCCTTGGATATTTTATTTAACAAATTGTAGTCAAGTCAAACAATTTATTTTAGCTGCCATTTTTCCAATATGGCCGCCAACTTTGATTTTTCTTATAGATTACCCTGTATTTTATGATGTATTTTGGTAGAAAAAGTAATTTTAAGACGATTTTATTCTTGTGATTTTTTTCATAAACCTGACCGTTTCAAAGATAATAATGGTTAAAGTGTTAAAATTTCTGCATGAGAAAGAGTTTCGATAAAGGCCTTAGCAAGCATGCCAGCTGTTTTGTTCGAAAACCATTCAAAATTTCACAACTTAAACCATTATTATCTTTAAAACGGTTAGGTTTATGAAAAAAATCACAAAAATAAAATCGTCTTAAAATTACTTTTTCTACCAGAATACATCATAAAATACAGGGTGTTCCATAAGAAAAATCAAAGTTGACGGCCATATTGGAAAAATAGTGGCTAAAATATTTTTTTTTGACTTGACTACAATTTTTTAAATAAAAATCCAAGGCACTTACCATTTAACTTTTTTTGATATCTCTTATAGTTTTCGAATAAAACGGCTGGCACACTTATATCAATCACCCTGTATGTATTTGTGTGGGGTTATTTATTGAAATTTTACTAAGATACATACTTTTTTAAATTTGACTTACACAACCAATATTATAAAGTCCATTATGGCTGTTGTAATAATCATATTACTAAATCTATTTGCAATTTTTAAATAAATTTTGTTTTAATGCTAAAATTTTTGCCAGTTTAAGCTCCAGAATACCTTATGCTAACCTAATATTTTTAAGGACGCGGTCAGTTATTTACTAATATATGTGTAAATAAATAAAAATATCTGTATTCATAAGCACCACCTCAAATAAAAGATAAAGACGTTTTTATCTTTGTATTAAAGTATTGGAAAACATTTACCTATACCGGTACTCAAGATCGAATTTACCCAGAAGAAAGTAGTTATCTATATATTAATTTGAAACTGTTTTTCTTTGTCATAGCTATTTTGAGAGAACGGCTGGGCGTAGTAGCTCGGTAGGGGTGTCTAAAGAAAGGTCTTGGTCTGTAGATGAGCCATCAAAAGAGAAACGTGGTAAATGCCCTAGGGGCTCTGCCCCAGTGGCGTTTAAAGTCCCATCCCATGTTATTCTTATGGAGGAAAGCGGGGTTTTTGTCACAGCTAATTTGAGAGAACAGCTGGGTGTACAAACTTGGTAGGGGTGTCTAAAAAAAGGTATTGGTCTGTAGGTGAGCCCTCAAAAGAGAAACGAGGTAAATTTCCTTGGGACTCAGCCCCAGAGGCCTTTAAAGTTCACTCAGCAATTTCGTTTACATTACGACCATATGGATAATTTTACACTACTTTTAATGAACCAGCTGTTAATATTAAAATTGCATTCAAAGGTCTACTGAAACTATCAAAATTAAATGTTTACACTATTATTTATGATTTTAAATTGATTCTCCACTGCATGGCAAGTTTTTTATAGTTTAAACAAAATGATGAATTTATGATACGTTTTAAATGTTGTGATAAAAAATATATGCTTTATTGCTCTTAGAAAATTTTAAATTTTGAAATAAGTGTGACATATCAATATTAAAGGAACATAATTATTCCTTATCGGGTTAGCTTATATATATTGTAAGGTTGGCACTTGCCTTTTTTGCCTACTTTCAATTACCATTTATTTTTGAATTCAAGAAAGAACACCAGAAATTCATTTAAAGTAAAAATTGTGTCATAGATGAGTACGTTGAGGATGAGAGCTGTGTTCAAGTTTTGGAATAGACTAACTAC